ACTTTTATCGACATTTCTACTTTTGATCAAAGTTGAGATGATCGAAAGAAAATATATAGGCAAAAAATATTTGTGCTTAATACAAGTTATTCGATATTGATATCAATATTTCTGTCTTCCTCTTTGTCGATTTCTTGGTAATTATTTGCATTCTTAATATGATCTATAGGTTTCTTTGACATAGGATCATTGGTAATAAGCTGTCTCAGCATCTATGAGTACTTTGTTTTCTGGCCATCTCTCACATAATAATAGTCAAGGTCAACACTATTGCTAGAGAGCATTTACTTTGTAGATCTATCTCTATTTCTTTAATAACTACGCAAATAAGAACAATTCGTCAAACTTGTATTGGCAAACGATAACTACTACGTATAAAGTAAATATTCAAAGAAGAAAAACTTTAAGAAATACGTCATACTGTTATAAAAATATCAAGATAAGACAAATGTCACAGATGCATAAAATGAGTCATCCATTCTATTCATTAATAGTTGCCGTTTTTCAAATTACAGTTAATAATAAAAATTTGTGCTCTCTACATGACCATAATCGTAATATATAATAAATATCTTTTATTGCATATAAAGAAAAATAGAAAAGAGCAAAACTTCAACCTGAATTTGACACCATAGGACTATAGCTATAGTAAATTATTTTTCAATTCTCATCAACGCTATGGAACTGTCTAAGACTGATGATACGGCGCATATGTATTTCACTCGTACCAAATCATACAGATATGTCAGTTAGACCAATGATAAATAATATACTTCAATAGATCTGCATTGTTTTGGGACGAAAAACGTCAATATGCATCTTCCGTCTCGAACGGGTTAAAAGAATAATGATAATTTATACATTTATTCTTACTTTCAGTAACACGGGATGATAAATTTTGAACTTCAGTTTTCAATTCAATATTTGCATAAGCTAATCCAACACTATACAAAGAAAACAACTTTATGAAAATGTTACTAAAAAAAGAAATTTACCAAACAATCATAAAAATACACACAAGACAAAAAGAAAGTATGTGTCGAGTATAGCTACACCATCGTCGATAACGTGTTAGATGTCTATGAAAAATAAACAAACAATAGTAATAATAATAATAATTATTATTATTCTTTTTTTTTGTTTCTATTGAATTTATTTACACTTTAGTAGAAGTACTTTTTTTGTTAGATAAAAATAATTCTTCTTCTGAACTAAGAAGAATTTCATTTGATAATCGATTGCTGAGACGATTGGATTTTGATGTTGATGAACGAAATTTCAATAAAGCATCAAGTTGTTTACGTTTTTTCATTTTTTTATTACAATGACGTGGTGGATTATTATAAGGTATACCAGTTTCTAAATCATTGATAAAATCATCCATGAAACGAGAATTATTTTGATCTGATTGATTTGGTGAATTATCATGTAATTTAATTGTCGTAGGATACATTTATCTTTTGAAGCTAATTAAACAATCGTTTTTGATCGATTGAATCAAATGAAAAAAAACCAAAAACATCTGAAGAATAAAAAAACAGTGAAGCATGTCATTTATATCGATATATAATAGATGCGAAAGTCAACAATGCAATTATTCAATTGGCTTTTTTATCTATTATTCAATGAAGCCTATTAGAATTCTAGATGATTATTTTTAAATTTTATTTAAAAGAAAAAAAGATGTCTGTTTTTGAAAAACATTTTGGGTAATAATTTCAGCTAGGATTTCTTGTTCTTCTTCTCTACTTCCATTATTAAATATCTATGGCCATTAGCCAATAACAAAAAACCTAGAGGACAGCAGATACTAATATAAAATAGATGCTTGTTAACATTAAATTATGACTTATTGTAAAAGTTCAGCAAACGAATTATAAATTTGTTCGTTCATAAAATGAAATATTCTGATTAAGAAAAAGTAGATTTCATAATTATACATCAGACATCATTTCTTAATTTAAAATATGAATTCAATATTTTTCTCTTACAAGTTATCAGTGGTCTTTTGGCGGCGAGAAAAAATAGATCGATAAAATAGAGACTCTAGACACTCAATTTTATAGTCTGTCAAGTCCAGTTTTTTCGACTTGAATTTGAATGAATCTAGGAGCAATTCGATGGGCCTTCTTCAGTATGATCGTATCATAGTTAAAATACAGAATGTCCGTTAGAAAGAATATCTGATCTTAACGACATGAATGTATAACGTTTTTTGATTTATGCGAAAAAACTTTTCTCTCGCAAATAATTCTAGTTATTTATTTCATATGAGACTAAGAACCAATTAAATAAAATATTTGCAATTTTTTACCACCTCTCTACTTCGTGTTTCATAATAACAGTATTCACCTCTTTCGGGAGTAGAATCAAAAGTATCTCGAAAAGTTCAGAATTGGAGTGATATCGGTAACTTCGCCACAGATCGAACAAAAAGGTGGGATAATCGTGAATTTCGAATGATTCAGGTGCGCGAGTGTCAATGGTCTGGTTCTAATTTGCGATAGTCCTTAGAAGAACTAAAATTAATCAAAACTTTGATCACATCGTATTTCAAGTAGTTCCACTGTGAGTCATAGGTTGATAGAATCTTTCATGCCGCTATGATCGAATGTCCCTGAAAAGAGACATTTTCTTAATGAGTCAGTAGGTCTTTTACAATATTACGGCCCTGTTCTATCAGATAGCTTGACCTTGTACTATACAATGTTATGCAAAAAAAAAAAAAATAATCATGAGTAAACAAAATTTTCAGAATATATATGACACGTATTATTTGTCCGTATTTATCAGATTCAATAACATTTCCTTGACAATCACATTCAATATGAGTTTTGCTCATACTAGATATTTTTTGTTGTGTTGATAGAAGAGTTTGTTCTCTACAATTATTATAAAAATAGAATTTAGCAATTATATATTCATTATTTGGACGAGTTCGTAAATATAGTTGTCGTATCATTTTATTTCGCATATAACAATGAGTATTATTAGACGTTGAAGCTGATATTGATAAACTTGAATTATAACTATTCATTAAAAAATATCGATTCAAGAAAAAAAATTAGTACTTGGACTTCATACAATATGATACTTACATTTAATAGGGGAAAAAGAAAGGAAAATTTTTCAATTTCTCTGTGATTAGCGTTTTGCACATTGGTAATTCCGTTTTTTCTGTGAACATATTAAAGTATTTCAAAACAAATTTGACTTCATATAATGATATATGATCTGTATCATTTTTACTCAAATATTTTTTTAATGTGAGATATGATATTTATTGATGTTGTTGCACTGCTACAGAATTTCTTCTTATTTATGTCTGTGTTTCATGATGAGATTAATGTTCTTACAATGATATTAAAACATATGTATGACATTGAGAGGAAAAAAAACAACAAGAATAAATTTTAGTAAATTTATTCTTTTTATAGAAACTTCAGCAAATGAAACCAAAATAAATAACCAATCCCTTCAGATTGAAAGTTTTTTTTTTTCATTAGTGATAGAGAACAGATTAGAAAGGCATAATATAACAAAAGCTTCCATAGCATTGTCTAGTCTTCTTTTATTAAATCAGAAAGGCGTAGAGAGGGAGAAATAATATGAAGTTATAGTAAATCTTATTGAAACAACCTTCATCTATGGAACATCAATAAAGAAAAGCAAGAGAGAGAGAGAGGGAACAGAGAGAGAGAAAATATGACTGACATGGTAGCCAAACAGTAGGAGGCTTTGTTTTTATGCTTAAACTTCATCTATTTCTATTACTCAGAACTTTTTTTCAATTTCGTATACATTATTTTATTTTTATTATTGACAATAACATCTATACAGTGACTTGAAAATTTTCAACTGTCATCAATGGGAACTACTTATGACTATACATATGAATATGAAGTAACAGATAAAAATAGACATCATCGTACTACTGGTGGAAATGCTGAACATTATACTCAACGAGCAGTTGGACATCAACCGCATTATGGAGTATCTCTTCCCCATGCAAGTCGTACAGATATGATGGATTCATTAGCCAATTTACAACATGATCGTATATGGCACAAACTTTATGATCCACTTGATATGCATAAAGCAACGCATGAAACTGAAATTCAGGTTTGTTTATCTACCTTTATATCTAGCAAAGATAATCTCAATTCTATCAATTTTATTATTAAAATAAAAAGAAAACATATGTTCATATACACCACCGCTAAGATAATAATGACGATCATTGGTTGTTTCGTGTTTTTTGGATTTTTACGGTACAACATGAAAAACTTTTCAATATCATAGAAAAAAAATATGTTTTTGATCATAGATACAAATAGTACAAATAAAACAATATGATAAAATTTGAACCTAATGATGGTTTTATTAGTTAATCGGCTAGATACATTGATTAAAATCTTTAGAATTGCATGATTTCCTTTCTCTTTTTCTCTTTTTTCGGGAACTTATTTTTGTGCATGATTGGTCGTCACGACAATCAGCAACATGGATAAACATTTTATGTAACTAAGTGACAGTAAAATGTTGAAAGGAAAAGAAAAAAAGGAGAGAATACGGGCAAAACCACACTATTGTTGATGTTTTTTTTTCTTTCTGCTCCAGTTAGTTGTCACCTTTTTTTTTTTGTTCGTTCACTTTGGTCGTTCGTCCACATAAAACAAACAACAATATGATTACAACTAAAAAAACAAAAAGAGAAAAATCGTTTCTTAGTAAATTTGTACCATGCCAGTTTTTGTGCGATGTTTCTACTATGAAAGAAGGAAAGAAAAAAAAGAAGAAAGAGCAATTGAGTAGACGAAAGAACTCGTTTTGTTCTCTCTCTCTCTTCGCCTGTTGTTCGCCTAAATTAAAGACATATTTGAAAAAAAAAACTGCGAAGAAATCGAATAAATACAGATAGGTATGTAAAAATTGAAGTAAAACACCTGTGATTTGAATATCACCAATATGCATACAGACACACATACTAAAACTTCACCATGTACATGTTTTTCACCGAGTATGCACAAAAACCGTATGATCACGTAGGCCATGATTTGAAAATTCATTTCTGATTTTTGTTTGTTCGGTTATACAATTGTAATTATAACTAATTTTTTTTGTAAAGAAAATGGCTCGTCGTCAAGATCGTAAAGTGATTAAAATTGAGGCAGCCTATGGATCAGACCGTCAAACATTTATTGTTAAACGGAATTATGATTTACGTGTACGTGATGTTCAAGAAGATGCAGCAACAACATTTCGAATACCTATTGATCAATTAATTCTTTATTGGAAGGTAAAATGTAATATTTATAATTCGAAATAATGTTATATTAAATATTTAGGGTCGAAATATTTGTGATACACCTAATGAATTTTTGGAAACATTAGGTATTGAAAATAATCATACGATGCGTGTCTGTCGAGGAGATGATCCTGCACAACAAAATAGACAACGAGAATTACGTTCTTATGCTACAATGGATCAACAATATTCATCATCAAATGATATTTATAGACAACAACAACAACAACAGCAACCCTATTACCCTCAATATCAACAACAAGTTTATTCAAATTATCCAACAATGTATGATCAACAACAACAGCAACAATATATGGCTAGTCCACGGTAAATTTTTTTTTGAATCTTTCAATCTATTCTTCTTCGTATAATAAATCTAAAAACAAAATTTTAAAGAATGAGAACTATTTGAAATTCGAATTCAAAAAAAAACAGAAAAGAAAAATTCGAATTCAAAAACAAAACAGAAAAGAAAAATTCATAAAAAAATTATTTCTATATTTATTAAATACAGTTTGTACTGTAATTGTACTTGTGCTCACGGCAATTATAACAATTGTAATTGTTGTTGTCATCATGGATCGTAAGTTTCTTTTTCTTTGTTTTCCTATATACAAGAAAAATCAATAATCTTCAATTGTCTCCTTTTCCATACCTATTATCCTTCGCTTTAGGCATTTTCACTATCGTCCAATTTAAAAACATAAAATACATTTTTATTCCATTGATTTTTTTTTCTTTTAAAAATAAACATTAACCTTTAATTCACCTGCTATAGGCTATCGACTAACTAAACCTTTTTTTAGCGCTAACTATTATCAACAATTGACTAGTCCAAATATATCGGGTCCTGTTGCTGCTAGTTATGTAATCAATTTACAAATCGGTTTTGGTGATCGTGTTGAAGGTCTTGTTATTGGTCGACCACACCCAGTAACAGTTTATGATTTACAAGTTGAATTACAACAACGTTTTAACATTCCACTACTTGAACAAAATGTTTCATATAATGGAATGTCATTAACACAATTTCCACCTGATATTTCACTTGATGCAATTGGAATTGTTAATAATTCATTTGTTTCACTTTGGTATAAAAATTTTGTTCCTCAAAATCAACAACTGTCGAATGATTATTATTCTCCAAGACAACAAGTACAAATGCCATATTCTAACGATGGATCTCAAACAGCACGTAGTGATATGTCATCAAGGTAAGAGAAAAAGTGAGAAATGTGTGCGTGTGAATGTTGAACAACAGTCGAAAATATTAGTTGTTGGCTCTCATGATTTAAAAGGCGAATGGATTTCAACAGCAGCAGTGGAAACGAGACGTTGCCAAATGCTAGTAACCAGGAAGTACTCAAAATTGAAGTATTTCATGGTATGATTATTCAAAAAAAATTCTCCTTTTATCTTGTCTATTTCAAAAGAAAGTTGATTGTGTATTTTCTCTTTTAAGGTTCTGATCGACATGTACTGATTTTACGTAGCGCAAATAATGTACGTATTATAGATTTAATGGAAGAATTACAACGTATAACAACTGTTCCGATTCAAAATCAAAAACTTTATTATCGTGGACAAGAATTACAAATCATGAGAGAACGTTCATTACGTGATGTAGGCATTGATAATAATGCTCAAGTGAGATTAATTGGTGATCCAGTAAAACCAAGATACGAAGCAATGATTACAGGAAATCGAGCTAATTAAAAGAGAAGAAAAAACAGAGACATTTTCGAAGCCATTTTGAACATATCATATTTCTTTATTTTTATTTTCATTTTTTATCAGTTATTCACTTTTGTTCATCCTACCCGTCCATACATGTCCAGAAAAAAAGAGTTTTGTAAATAAAAATATGCAGAAAAAAGATTCAATTATTTATAGTTTTGTTTTTTCGAAAAAAAGTAAATTTTAGAATAAGCACGGTAAATTAGACACTTGCTTTTATATTGTAAGTCAATAATTTGGAAAGCATTATACGTAGTAAGATTTATTCCGTTTTAGAACGGGTCTATCAACTCTTGCCTAGATTCAAAAACAAAAAGAAAGTTCCTTGTTCAACATATCGTTCTTAATGGCTGGTAGCCTTTTAGCATGAAGAACAATATTCAAATTTATAATTGGATTAGAGCGTGGTAATGAATAATTCTAACACCAGTTGTTTTTGAATCTTATTATTGTAACATAACGAGTGATATTTATCTAAATCTATGATACGGGAAAAATTAATTATACTATGTATACGAATTATGGCAGAATAAAAAAGTTATTTACAAGAGAACGTTTTTGAATTCGAAATCCGTCCATCAGGTAAACTACAATCATATATGAAAAATCATAAAAGGATAAGTCCACTTAAACCTTCTATCCAAAGTTATAGTCATTTTACTAAAATTTTAGCCTCTAGCAGTATTCGAATCCTAAAGTGACATAGTGTACTATTTTCTGGAAAACTTTCACTACATTAACTCGAAAAAAAAAGGTATTTGACCATTGAAAGCAATGTATAACTCTTCTCAGAGCGGTATAGCAGAAATGGGATAGTTCATCACGTTGTATTTATATGAATTAAACAGTATGATTCGATCGTTTTATTAAAGCCTATTAACAAGTTACAAAAAAATTGTGCACATAATTTCATTTATCATTATATAAAATTTTTAAAAGTCTATATGATGTCTCTTTTCTTGAACTTTTTTCATCATTTTTTAAAGTACGTGAAAAATATTTTCAATCGAGAACATTTCCAATGTTGTTTTTTTTATGAATGCAACACATTCCAACAGTTGGTGAGGAATGTTAATAGATATGTTTAATATTAAGAAAGACATATCCATCCGATTGATGACAATGTTCTTTGAAATGGAATCGAGTAAGATTTTTTCACATCGTAGATTTCTGGTCATGTTTTCTAGACTTGCCATAAGCATATCATTCGAAGTATAAATTCATGCAGCCATGGTACGATGTTTCATCATACTCGAGACTATTTTGTGTTTGGCATTAATACGAATGACGTAATATGGCATTCAATGAAAAAGTGACAGTCTAAAAGTGCTTCCCCAGTTAATATTAGTAGAAACTAATTAATTTCATTTTAGAATAGAAGATGAATGATTCCAACAAATTTTTCAATAGCCACGATAGTATCACTTTTTTACAAGAATTTTCATAAAAATAACTACACACTCCATCATTATCTTTATGACACTTTCAGTACTCAAAGAAGTATTTCATTGTCAACATACTTGTCTATCAAAACTGATGATAAAAGACCTTCCATCAATCGATTGTAGATATTGCTGTAGTAATTTGAGTTATCTGGCAGGGCAACGAAGAGCAAAATCTCATCTCTACACTTATTCATATCGGTAAATTTGTCATTCTGAAATGGATTCAATAATAGAAAATATGTGAATCGATAGATTGATATAAATATCAAGGTTCTGAACAGCTTGAACGAATCTAAAAGATTGTCAACAACTTTTATAAAAGATAAATACCGAAAGAGAAGAGTCTCATATACATCCACACATGAGTAACCATCTGTTACTTGCATCTCTAATAGACTCCGAGTGGAACAGAGAAGAAACTCTGCGCACTTTGGAAGCGGTTTCTAATTGTATCAAAGTCCCTAAAATTAGACGATCCGACTGTCTCTTCTCAAAACCTTCTTTCATATGCGACTGTTTTTATTCAAGCATGCAAATTTCTGCCAACACCAAGATAAGATGCATCATCTGACTCTCAAAAAGGTTACTTGTGAAAACTGTTTTTTTGAAAGACAAACTCGTCGATATGCACATCACTCATGCAAGTTAGAAAATTTCAACCACACAATTGCTTCTGTGACTAACAGCTACTAGTCATGCAGCGTTACAAGCTTGTATCATTTCAATTAAAAGGTGAGATGCAACCACTATATTTTCATCTGACCGTAGCGCAAAAGAGACATGCATTCTGTTTCATGCGACTTGGAAATTCTCAATCAGCGTATACTCTGCAAACAATAAGGATAAATATAAATATTAGTCAACTATCGTGACTATCGTTTTTATTCATTCAGATAACTGCGAAAACTAAGTATGTAACAATACGTGAGTATGGATCTTCTCTTTACCCTCATCGTCACACTGTAAGATCAAAAAATTTAGATAAAACAATGATTTAACACAATTAATTTTCTGATTTCGAGTCGTAATGCCAATATTTCCATTATAGTTTCGGAAATTTTCCATAATTTCACGGCCGGCATCCTCTTTTGATAGTTGCCATTGTGGTGCGGGTGTGTGATTGTTTTAATGATCACTAACACCCATACCCACACTGGTCGCATAAGTGTATTAGTTATCTTGTGTTTATTCTCGAGGCAAGCCGTACTTTTCTACATGTGCTAGCGCTTTACGTTCGAATTCGTGCCTGTTTGAGAAAAACTCGGCTGCTATTTCTACAAAGGAAAAATGGCGACCGGATGAGCAGAGGCAAAACCTAAAGCAAACACTGACCTGTACATAGTACATAATCAAGGTTGGGTTTGTCAATTACACTGATTATGGCTTTCACAGCGTCAACCAAGGATACTTTCGGTGACCATAACTCACTTTTTTGAAGAATGTTCACCGATATTGTACCTGAAAAAGTAAATTGGAAAGATGAGCTTGATGGTGATTAAAATTTGTATTTGTTTTATGTTTCACTGACCGTCTTTGCCGACGTTTGGATGATAGATAGGAGTGAGAAAACGAACGTCAGGGGGCTGAAATGGATATGCAGGATAAAATTTCATTTGAATGCTGTAGGCAGCTTTGTTGTAGATCTCGGAACATGGCAATATACGGCCGACAAGAAGACATGGGTCACTTGACAAAGTCCACGCTGCATCTTCATTGAAAGGGCTTTTGTCAACAATGAAAGTGGTCGGTCCGTTTCCTGTCATGCCTAATGACTGAAGCTCTTCTATTTGCCTCCAAAGATATTTTGTTGTTGATAACGGAGAAGTGGTTAGAAAACCAATTCTGTTAATAGAATGACCTATAACGCGTATAAAAAGCATTCTATGTATGGTTAATAATATTTTTCATGATAGGGCAGAACATTTTAGGATAGCTACGTTTTCATATATGTGAGTCGAATGCAGAAGTGGGAAGTCCACTGACTGCTGTTATTTTTGCTGGAAAGTAGGAAGAGAAGAGAGAATGCTAATAGCATGTTGGGTGGATGAGTGCGGATGTAGGTGTAATATGGCGGAACAATATGTCTCAAACGAACTATATGAATATCCGTATAAAGGCCTACACAA